TCAGCGCACGAACTCGATTTGAGCAGCTCAACTGTCTCAAGCTTGGGGATCGCAAGCCGTCGGCATTGCTCCACGAACTTCAGCGCAGCGCTTGTCCCTTATTCTTGAGCGAAGAAGGGATAAAGGAGATGTGGTTTGCACGTCTCCCAGAGCCATTGGCGGTAATGCTGTCCATGTTTATAGATGCACCCCTGAAAGACTTAGCTACCAAGGCAGACGCTGCGTTTGAACGTTTTCTGCAGCAGACGACCATTAGCTCCAGTGACGTATTCTTATCGAAGAAAACCGAATCTGGTCTTCGTTCCCAGTCTCTAGACCGATCTGACCCTAAAGAATAGGAAATTGCGCTACTCCGCAGCAGGATAGCAGCAATGAAGGCTTCAAAGCAACGTGTGCCACGGTCAAATGCTGACCACGTTTTGGCTACCGTTCATTGCGACTCCTCTGTGCCTGCACCGAGTACGTCAAGTTCGGCACGAAAGCGCAACATTTTCCTTACAAGTTCTCAGTCACATAATGTCAAAACTGTCGAAGAAATATGTTGGTATCACTGCCAATGCGGTGGAAGAGCTAGACGTTGTCGGGCTCCCTGCACTTAGCACGACTCAGGGAAAACGAATAGCCCGCATACTAGCACTACAGAAGTATGGTTCAACAACCAAGCAAACCGACTGTTTTACGTTAAGGATTGACGTTCTTCTATCACATTCTTCATCGATACTGGACCGGAAGTCAGAGTCATCCCAGCGACCGTTAACGACAAGCACTCAGAGCCTACGTACAATTTGCGTGCGGCCAACGGTTCTCCGATAGCTTCATTCGGTCAGCGCATGATGTACCTGGACCTCAATCTTCGCCGAGATCTTCAGTGGATCTTCGTGGTTGCGTCTGTACCCTTCGCAATTATCGGTATCGACTTCCTCCGACATTTTGGGTTGCTTGTTGATGCTTGTCGCCACCGACTTTTAGACGACCGTACGAAACTAGGTGTTGGTGGCGCCCTTTCAGATGCCCCGATAATCAGCCCTGTATTTCGAACATCCGCGACTGGTTCGACCGGCTGCAGAGCTTCCACCAGTCACGACAGAGGTCGTTCACTACATAGTTGCGCGTGGTCAACCAGTTAGCGCACGATTAAGACAGCTTGCTCCAGACAAACTATGGGCAGCACGAGCCGATTTTGACCACATGCCTCAACTTGGTTTCGTCAGACCGTCCAACAGCCCATGGGCGTCGCCTCTGCACATGGTCCCGAGGAAGGTCATGGGGGACTGGCATCCTCGCGGCGACTAGCGATCCTTGAATACGGTGACCACGCCTGATCGCTATCCGATCGCACACATAGTAGATCTCGCCGCCAGTCTAGAAGGTAAAAGTATCTTCAGCAAAATCGACTTGGTACGCGCATACAACCAAATTCCGGTAGCCGATGCGGACATCGCTAAAACTGCCGTGACGACTCCATTTGGGTTGTTTGAGTTTCTGTGCACGCCATTAGGCCTAAACAACGCCGCACAAACTTTTCAGCGTTTCATCGACCAAGTTTGTCGCGGTCTAGACTTCGCTTACGCGTATCTGGATGACCTTTTAATCGCAAGCTCTTCACGAGAAGTGCATTTGCGCCACGTACGAACACTTTTTGATCGTTTATCTCAACACGGGGTGACGATCAATGCAGAAAAGTGTTCGTTTGATGTCGATTCAGTCAATTTCCTGGGCCATCGTATCTCTCCTGCAGGCGTCGTGCCACTGCAGGATAAAATTCAAGCCATCGTTGACTACCCCGAGCCTCATTCTTTCAAACAGCTCAGGCGTTTTGATGGGCTTGTCTACTTTTACCGACGATTTATACCCAACTGCGCCTCGCTGATGCAACCCCTCACGGACCTTCTCCGAGGGAAACTCAAGAAATTCGAATTTCCTGCCACAGCACGCGCTGCTTTTAAGTCGATGGAAGAGGCTATCGCCAACACAACTTCTATAGCGCACCACAATCCGGTCGCCTCACTGTCCCTGAGTACTGACGCCTCGGACGTGGCAGTCGGTGCTGTTTTACAGCAACGAGTAGCCGAAACGTGGCAACCCTTAGCGTTTTTCTCCAAACGCCTGCTACCGACGGAATCTCGCTACAGCACGTTCGGTAGAGAACTTCTAGCCGTATATCTAGTGATACGTCACTTTCGACATGTCCTAGAAGGCCGCTTTTTTGTCGTCTTCACCGACCACAAACTCCTGACTTACCTGTTCGGCTCGACTACCGACCGATACTCTCCTAGAGAGTCGCGCCACCTTGACTATATCGCTCAGTTTACGACTGATATTCGGCATGTCTCAGGTGTGCACAACGACGTCTCCGATGCACTTTCTCGTATCCAAGCTATCTCCGCTGACGCCGGCACTGCTATCGACTTGGCAGCCATGGCCATGGCACAACTCAACGATCCTGCGGTTGATCTACTGCGCAGGTCTCCCTCCATAGACATACGACTCGTTCCGCTGATATCATCAAACGGAACGATACTCTGCGATTTAGCTCTGGGCACGCCGCGCCCAGTCGTCCCGCGCAAGTTTCGGCAGACCGTGTTCGACACGTTGCACAGCTTGTCGCATCCAGGCGTTCGTGCATCCATTAAATTCGTAACCGCATGATTCGTTTGGCGTAATGTTAATCCGGACGTCCGTATCTGCGCAGCTGCTTGCCATCCGTGTCAATGCGCGAAGGTGCTCAAGTACACCAGAAGCCCATTAGGCAGGTTTCCGACGCCAGACGCACGTGTTCATCACATGCACGTCGACTTCGTAGGTCCTCTGCCGCCTTCCATAGGCTCTGTATATCTACTGACCTGCATCGATCGATTTACTAGATGGCCTGAGGCCGTTTCTATTCCAAATTGCTCCTCAGAAACGGTAGCGAGAGCTTTGATGGAACGTTGGGTAGCTAAATACAGCTGTCCCGCCATGGTGACCACCGATCGAGGGTCACATTTCTCGTCGACATTTGCCACGTTGCTTAAGGATTTAGGCTGTCGCCACGTCCAGACGACGGCGTATCATCCGGCCCCTAACGGCATGGTGGGGCGTTTTCACCGCCAGTTGAAGGCAGCGCTACGTGCGTACTCAGATCCTTCATGGTCTGAAACGCTTCCCTTATAAATAATATAAATAAATAAATAGTATATCCTCGAATTTCCGAGACACACCTGACCAGACATGATCGTTCTCCTAGGCTTAAGAAACACGGTTAAAACCGATTTCGACGCCACACCAGCGCAGCTAGTTTACTGTAGCACGCTGCGGTTCCCGGACAGCTGGTAGCACCAGCCCCATGTACTTCCACTTTTGACTAGGGAAGTTATACTGATCGACTGGCTCACCAGATGCGTGAGCTACGTCCACCCGCTCCTCGATCGCAGAAGACACTGGTGTACGTGCCCGAGAAGCTGTCTGCGTGTTCACACGTTCTTCTACGCGCAGACGGTGTTCGACAGCCTCTTCAGTCGCTGTACATAGGACCCATCAAGCTGTTACATCGTGCGAGTAAGGCGTACACTATGGACGGCGGTGGTCGACACGAAGTCGTCACCATCGACCGTCTGAAACCCGCCTTTATGGAAGAAACTACCTCGCCTACTTCGTCTAGTAGTGCTTCTTGCGACGTCACAACTCACTACACCAGCTTCCAGCATCCTAGTGCAGTTCAACGAGACCACGATTGCGGTCTACCAGCCGTCCCGACATCACCCGAACCCTGTCCGCCGCCTCCTACTACCAATCGCCGTGTTCGGAAGGTAGGTAAGCCCGTTCGTTTCTCCGACTATGTACAGTGCAAACACTTTTAACTTTGTAGATATTATATATATTTGCCCCATTTTTGGTCGATTAACGTTTTGAAAACAAACAAAAATATCAAAAAACCTCCGCAAAACCTTAATAAAAAAACATTCAAAACCAAATTATATTTAAATACGCGGACCATTCGTTTGTTCTTTTTGGCGTTTTCTGCGCGTGTTTTTCTATTTTTTCGCCTTTCATGTCCCAACTCTCTCCTTCGATCGACTGGCCCACACGAGGAATGTTTTCGAGGACCCTGACGCGAACACTGGTCGTTTATCCGCGGGAAGAGTGTCGTCTCTCCGAGGGATGAATGTCGCTTCTCCGCGGAACAAGGGTCGTTTCTCTTTGGGACCATGGTCGTTTCCTCGTTGGACGAGGGTTGTTTTGGCGCGGGGCAGGGTGCCGCGGTTGGAGAGACCACTCCCAAGCGCACCTTTTGAAAGCAGCGGAGGTTGAAGTCCTGTCGGCCTTTTTCTGGGCTACCCAGTATTTTTTAGTCCGACATGCCCGCTTCAACGGGTCGCCAAATGCACCCTGCCCTGCATTCATTATGTAACATATCATAAACGGCACGGCGCACTCCGACTTCCGACGATCTTTCATTTACACAAAGGCAAGCTCCTTTCTACTCGGCACAATTTTGCGTTACTAACCTCGTTTCAACATTCCTTTTCGATTTCAAAGGCTCTCTATGTTCAGCCTTCTAGGTGGAGCTCTGTAGTGCTCAAAAATATAACTCTTATCTTTCAAGTACAGTCTACTCGTTGACGATTGTACTTTACTCCTCATTGTTTTAACTTACAACCGGCTCGACCCACAACTGTCCTGTAAGCTCCCGCGCCAACGTGCATGCTCTTGACTCGCTTCATCCGTTCTCTTCTTGTTGTAGCCAATCGAATAAAGTCTGCTGTGTCCGACTTCAAATGCCTTCTGATATCCGCGCTTAATTCCGCGCAAAGACTCGGACTAGTATTACCTATACCATTTCCCGGACAAGTTGTCCACTTGGGCAACAGGAATAATCTGAGGGGGCATTCAACATGAGTCTACTCAATTAATTTGTTCCGTGCGTACCCCACTCACTTGTGCAGGTGTGTAGGTGTGCGTGTATAGCCCGTCGCCTTCAGCCAATTGGACCTCAGACGCACTAAGTCATAGGGGTGTATGTGGGACGCTTCAGCTACTACCAGGGACAGTGTCGCTGGCCGATACATCAGGTTGGCCTTTCTTTCGCTGTCCTAGGAAGCGATTCCCACCAATTAGAACGAGAGTAAGGATTTGAATGACGATTGGTTTGGTATAACGAGCCACAGCCAAATAAGTTTGCCGTATGCTTTTGAATGTACAGTTCACCTAAACGCAATGGTTGGCTCGTATGTTCGGCACTCGAGGGAGGTGAAGAACGTCGTACTGAAAGCGTACGAGGAAGGGGACGATTGGAAGCAGGTCGCTTGCATACTGAAGGTGAACGTGAAAACTTGCCGCAACTGGATCCGGGCGTACGAATCGACGGAAACGGTGGGACAGCACGGGGGAGTTCGTCGCAGAGCACTGGGAGAAAGCCACGTCGACTGTCTGGTTGAGTGGGTTTCTGCAGAGCCTACCGTTACCCTTGAACTCCTTCGTTTGCGGTTGAAGGCGGAGTTCGAAGTTTCAGTAAGTACCAGCACTGTCTCACGATACTTGGATGGTAGACTTATAACAATGAAGAAATTGCACACCATTCCGGAGTCCATGAACACGCTGGAGAACAAAAAACGACGCAGATCATTTGTTTTGCAGCTCATGGATTACGAGGTGGAAGGAAGGCAACCGGTGTGGATTGATGAGACCAACTTCAACTTATTTTGCTCCCGCACTCGTGGCCGCTCACGACGTGGCAGTCGAGCGCAGTGTACAGTGGCGAACAGCCGGGGACCGAATGTTCATCTTGTCGGCGCCATGACAAACAACGGCTTGATAGCGTGTTCGGTTCTGAGAGGAAGTTACAACAAGCAAAGGTGCGCTCAGTGGCTGCGACGAGTGCTTGATACCAACGGAACAGGATTTGTGGAAAGGTGTATTTTGATTTGTGACAACGCGCCCTGTCACACGCACCTGGAGCACGTTTTTCTGGAGGAACCGTACCGCTCTGGGAGACTTCTACGCCTTGCGCCATACTCACCAGCTCTCAATCCCATCGAGGGCATATGGAGCATAATAAAGGCTCATGTAAAACAGGCAATGAAGGGACGGTACTCCGAGATGCTCCTGGGGGATCCTGAAGGCATTATGAATAAAAGCGAGTGGCGCATTCGGTTTTTGGAGCACGCGGTGTCTGAAGCACGGGCTTTAGTGACGCAGCAGCACTGCAAACAAATGGTTCAACATGTCAGTAAGAATTATGGACGTGTTGTCCATTTGGCCGATCTGTAAAACATTCTGTTGGCAGTAAACTACCTGTTCTAAGCGAGTGTTGTTCTTACATTATTATGATGACGGGTCAGAGTGAACTTTATACTCTGCTAGAAATAGCTAGTTCTCTAATCGGGGAACATTGTGGATTTCCGGTAAGTTGGTGCGTGTGGTCGCGTCGCATACCAATTGTAGTTGCCGCGTTGTAGAACAATCATGTGGGAGCTTGACAAGCAGATGCCACTCTAACACGGTTGTGTAACCAACAATTACGTTCTACCGCCTGTCGTTGATTGTGTTTGGAGAGCCAGTGGATAAGGAATTTGATAAGGGCATAATAAATAAGAAAATTAAACTATGCAGACTTGACGTACATGGGTATTGTGTGTGGCCGTTTGCCGGATTGCTTAACCAATTGCACCAACGCAGGCGGCTGGACGGTGTAAGCGGAAACGCAGAGTATGTAGGACAAGCAGAACTAACCTTGATCACGCTCTCTAGGGAGATATTTCCCGATGGGCATTCGTCAGTTGTGGACTGTATTCGAACACACCACAGGGTTGCGGTGAGAGAATGCTTTGAAGATGCAAATAAAATGTACTCGCTTCGGCGAATCAAATTTACTCGTCGGGTTGTAACATCTGCACAGGGATGAGCGACTCCGTATGACGCAAACCAATCCGTGCGTTTATATGCCATTTGCCATTTGCAAGTGGAAGTTGCTATTTCGCTCCATCCCAATTCTACGTGGGTAAAGGATGTGGTTATAGCCGGACATCTGTTGTAATCATATCTCGTGCGCGTTATCGTCATCCATCCACACAGCTCAGGCTCCGTTCCCGTCGCCAGCTGTGACTACACCGTGCAGCTAATCACGGACTCCTAGTAGGTGGTTGATATGAAACGGGCCAGCCGCCTACCAAGTATCTGCTTCGCCTTTCAACCCCCTGGGTCTTTGACGACCCAATGTACGCCCGGATAGGGAAGCCCTGGGTACTCTCTCCATGACACATATTACATTAGGCGCGTGATCCGTCGAAACTTAGTTCCAGTGTTGTTCTTGGGAAAATGAGCGGTTACCTTACGTCTTTACTTGCTATGGACTAAAATTGCACATGCTTTACTGGCACATTCAACCAAGCGCTTTTCATCAGGAACGTCAGCTACATCGTTGTTAATCTGCTGATGTAGCTCCGGTGTAAGCGCTTCGGTTTTCAGTGCACTAGGTTTCAGTTTGGATGAGCAACTATCGATGATTGAGCTATGGTGTCGTTGCTGGACTCCCAACAAAGGGGGTTGCATTATATAGACGAAGAGATGACTAATCCGCTTTGAATACGTTTAGTTGTTTCCTTTGCAGAGACGCAGTATGGGGGCGCGTAGGCGGTCCGTTCAAGGCGGCACGTGACACGGGGCCGCATTTTCATTACCGTCGTATTTTGGATACCAAATATGATTGAAAAATTATCCGGATAAGCTGCGTTTTGAATATTTTAATGTTACGCTGTATGATCAACAACACATTTGCGCCATGTGTCGCACTTGTGCAAACGTTCTTCCCAGTGCTCCTCTTATTTGTTTCATTGTGGTCACTTTCAATACATTCACGTCAAGGTCCCAAGCGCATATTAGTTTGCATCGAAAGCTGGTGTGCTCTTTACCGATCGTTTGGCCTTCACGCGCCTATGCTGCCCTCAGTAACAGTGATAATGTTACTACGCCCTCGAGTGGCAAAGTAGTTGACACTATCCACAGTGCAAAGTGGCCCATCAACGGACGGTATGTTCCTAGGCTGGTGAGAAAATTTGAGAAAACTGGGAGCGTGTACGTCGCCAAAAGACGTGGCGGCCTCACATCACCACGGATAACTTTTTCGCTTGTGTGGTTATTTGTGTGGTGTCCAGAAGCTGCGATCTAAGCATTCGTAAACTCGCCCAGCATTGCAACACCACCAGATATGCTGTCCATAGGGCTTTGAAGGAAAGGTAATTCCGGAAGTATAGCGCCCGTGAAGTGCAGGTTTTAAACCCATGTGATTCGGAGAAGAGACTTCATTTTTGCCGCAGGTTTTTAGTGTCATGGACATCCATTCAATTCTGTTTACCGATGAGGCTGCTTCCCCAAACAGTCATGCGCCAGTGACACCGAGAAGTGACGTACCATGACGAAGGATCATTGCGAGTCGTTAAGGTAACAGCTACGCAATGAAAAGGTTGTAATACTAAGACAAGATATGGGATTAGGTGTCGTCATAATGCAGAAACATGGCTACATCCAGAAAATGCAAAAATTTCTCGCAGACTAGTCGATTCGTTTTTATGTGACAGATAACGATAAAACCGAACATGTTATGAAAGCGAACGTTACGTGAGTTGTGTGGATGCATGACGATAACGCGCACGAGATATGATTACAACAGGTGGCTGGCTATAACCACATCCTTTACCCACGTAGAATTGGGATGGAGCGAAATAGCAACTTCCACTTGCAAATGGCAAATGGCATATAAACGCACGGATTGTTTTGCTTCATACGAAGTCGCTCATCCCCGTGCAGATGTTACAACCCGACGAGTAAATTTGATTCGCCGAAGCGAGTACATTTTATTTGCATCTTCAAAGCATTCTCTCTCCGCAACCCTGTGGTGTGTTCGAATACAGTCCAAAACTGATGAATGCCCATCAGGAAATATCTCCCTAGAGAGCGTGATCAAGGTTAGTTCTGCTTGTCCTACATACTCTGTGTTTCCGCTTACACCGTCCAGCCGCCTGCGTTGGTGCAATTGGTTAAGCAATCCGGCAAACGGCCACACACAATACCCATGTACGTCAAGTCTGCATAGATTAATTTTCTTATTTATTATGCCCTTATCAAATTCCTTATCCACTGGCTCTCCAAACACGATCAACGGCAGGCGGTAGAACGTAATTGTTGGTTACACAACCGTGTTAGAGTGGCATCTGCTTGTCAAGCTCCCACATGATTGTTCTACAACGCGGCAACTACAATTGGTATGCGACGCGACCACACGCACAAACTTACCGGAAATCCACAATGTTCCCCCGATTGGAGAACAAGCTATTTCTAGCAGAGTATAAAGTTCACTCTGACCCGTCATCATAATAATGTAAGAACAACACTCGCTTAGAACAGGTAGTTTACTGCCAACAGAATGTTTCACAGATCGGCCAAATGCACAACACGTCCATTATGGCTCTGGATGTTTGGTGCAAAAATTGGAACCAGGCTTTTTCACCGGCCAAATGCAACGTCCTCTCATACCGATGCTCGTTCCGCCCAAGGCGTTAGCGTCTCAAGGCACTCCGCTTTTTAACAGCGTAACGGTTCGAGACCTAGGTGTCCATTGCTCCAATTCTCTGAACTTCGCATAGCAAGTGAGCCATTGCTCAGCAAAAGCACGCTCCCTCATAAGCTACATGTTTAAATCGATGACACTGCAAGAATCTAGGCTTGCTCTATACAAAACCTGCGCCCGACCTCTGCTAGAATACTGCTCCATTGTGTTTACTAACTCCAGAAAATGCGATAAAGTAGCCATTGAAAAGGTTCAACGATCGTTTACCAAACGTCTTCTGGGCAACTCCACTCTCAGCTATCGTGGCCGGTGCATCAAACTCTTGCTTGGGCCAGTATGGTTGCGCAGTCTGAAAACTAACCTCATCTTCCTATAGCAGCTTATCAATAATCCTCTTGCGAACTCAATAACTCCCATCCTATCATCAGCCAACATTTCGTACCCTCTTCGTAATAGACCGCACTCCATTATCCTGCCGAAAGCCCACAGTAGTACCCGTGCAAACTTCTATCTTTACAGATATGCGTATGTGTGGAATAGGCTTCCACATAATGTGCGGGCATCTGATAATATAATCCACTTCCGTACAGCACTTAATAGGTACCTCACAGTCAGTCAGCTTTCTACTCTTTTAAGTATTAACAAACTTGAAGACAACCGGTGGGAAAATGGTCCTGACCACACATAAGCGTTTTCCCCATCCTGTCTCACTCAGCTCCAAGTTAGTCCAATTGTAGTCCACTTCTCTCATCTGCTTTCTCCGGCTCAGTCTACCGTAGTATGCATTCTTTCCGTTTTCTGTTCACTCTTCACTCAATCGTTTTTAGCTCGCTTCAGTTGATGTGACTAACTCAGACAACTTACTGTATGCTTGCATTCTTCATGTCTGCTGTACCTTCTTCATTCAACCTTCTTAGTTCTCTTCTGGTGACCTTCCTTATGTCATCAGGCCAGCGCACAGCCGCTGCTTGATAGACGCCCAGCTGTCACTAACCTGTTTGTAACACCTAAGAATTTGTAGTTCAGCTTCCTTACCAGCTCCAGCTACCTAGCACGCCGTTATGCGCCGTTCCTCTTACTCATGTAAAATCTTCTTGACAGCAGCTAGTCATTGTTGGCTCCATGTAGTTTGAAAGGAGCCACTCCCGGAATATCCAACCTTCATTATCTTCTGCAGTCTGTCTCTCTAAGCTTCGCACACATATTGCTTTCTTCATCGAAAATTTAGGTATCCAGTAGTGGTCAAACTTCTTAATCATATGGCTACACCAGCCACGGATAAATCCTTACCTAGTCACCAAATCTGCCGAGCAGCAGCTAGTCGGCATAGCCTTATTTAAACTTTGCGGATACCAGGAGCTCGCTCCCTTCTTACAATGTTCATTCTCTTGGATTGTTTGCGTCGCAGCTCAGCTGTTTGTTGACGTATTCTGTGTCACCGTAGGATCCACTAGTAACTGATGAATTAATCCGAAATCTGTTGCTGCCATTCATCGCTCTCCTAGCGCGCCGTTATCCGTTGATCGTCATACTCTTGTGCAATTTTCTTATTGCCAGTAGCTAGTCGTTGTTGACTTCATGAAGCCTGCAAGGATCCACTCCTTGACTCTTCAGCCTTCATTTTCCTCTGACGTCTGCCTCCTTATTCGGCGCTCGTCTGTTGACCTATTTATTGAAACTGTGGGTATCCAGTAGTGGTCAAACTTCTTAATCATATCGCTTTACCAGCTACTGATTCATCCTTTTCTAGTGCCACTATCTCTGCTTATAGCAGCTAGTCGCCATAGCCTCAATTCAATTTTGCACACACCCGGAGCTCTCT